CAAAATTATAATATTTTCACATAACATAAAACTTGATATTGTTATATCAGTAGTACTTCATAAGTTCTTATTTCTGCAGAAAATTAAACATAACATAAAGTTTGTACCAAAACAAAACCAAAGCATAGAACATTAAAAATAAAGAAAAGACTTCCACTAATCTAAGGCAGTCTCAAAAGCAAGACCTATATTTACAACAAGCCTATGAAAAGTCTTAGGTGTCAAACCTTTGGTTAATGGATCAATTAACATTAAGTATGTCCCTATATGTTTTATTAAAATTTACTTCTCACGATCTCTTTCTTTCACAATAATATACTTGATATCGATAAATATTTATTTTATAGAAGTCATATTATTGTTAGAGTAAAGTAGAACTGCACTATTATCACAATAAACCTCCAAGGGTCTTTCGATGCTCCCAACGATGTGTAGGCCTGTGACAAAGTTCTGCGTCCAAATTGCATGATTTTATGCCTCAAAGCAAGCCACAAACTTTTCTACCATGGTGAAGGGAGCCACTAAAGTTTGTTTCAAAGACTTCCAGGAGACAACTCCTCCAGCCAAGAGAAAGTTGTAACCAGATGTGGAACATCTACAATCTGGGCATACAACAAAATTGAAGTCAGAATACCCAATGATCTCCAAGTTATATAACTTTTGATAAGTGAGCACAAAGTATGTTGTACACTCCAGGTAGTGCATTACATGTTTTACTTCTATCCAATGTTATATGCCAGGGTTGCTTAGATATCTACCAAGAACTCCTATAATGAATTCTAAGTCGAGACGTGTGCAAACTTGAGAATACCTAAGATTCCCCACAACTGAAGCATATGGAACCCTATGTATCTCTTCTTTTTCAAGATTCATAGTAGGGAACTATTTGTGAGTAAAATTGTCTCCTCTAGCAATGGGTGTGTCTCCTGGTTTGCCATCTTACACGAAGAATCTATCCAAAATTGTATCAATATAGCTCCTCTGTGATAATCCTGAAATACATCGAGATTGATCTATAAGTACTTGAATTCCTAAGACAAAAGAGGCGTCCCCAAGATTTTTCATCTAAAAATTATTTGTGAGAAATCTATTGGTTTCGTGCAATAAGCCTATATTATTGCTTACCAAAAGAATATCATCTACATATAGTACTAAAAAAATGAATTTACTCCCACTGAACTTTTGGCACACACAATTATCAATTGGATACACCTCAAAACCAAATGAGGATATAACTTGATGAAATTTGTAATACCATTGATGAAAAGCTTGTTTAAGCCCATAGATGGATTTCTTGAGTTCACTAACCATAGACTTTAGATCTCCTGACACAAATTTTTCTAGTTGCACCATATATATTGTTTCTTCAATGGTTCCATTTAGAAATGCAGTATTTACATCCATCGAATGCAACTTTAAATCAAAATGAGCTACTAATGCCATCATGATCCTAAGAGAATATTTGGTAGACACTGGAGAGAATGCCTCTTTATAGTCAATGCTTTCCTTTTGTGTAACACATAACAAGTAGGAAAGACCTTCGCAATTGAATTCATAAAAGCGGTATCACGGTTGATGACAAGGTGTGTCTTATTTGTCCTTCAACATTGATCGACACAAATCTAAAGCCCAAGTAACTTTTTCCTCTTTTTGGCTCTTTAGAAATGCAAAATTGATAGAATAAGTCTTTCTAAGTCTTCTTTTTCCTTCAACAGTGATAGATACAAATCTAAATCCCTTTGAAATTGAATTCATAAAAGTGGTATCACAGTTGATGACAAGGTGTGTCTTCTTTTTCCTTTATCATTGATCGGCACAAATCTAAAGCCCAAGTATCATTTTCCTCTTTTTGGCTCTCTAGAAATGCAAAAATGACAGAATAAATCTTCTCAGTAGAGGTAACACCAACAATTTCTAAAAGTGGAAGCTTGTACTTATGGTCTTATACGATGAATAAATGATGAGAATAATATAAAACATGTTGAACAAATTAATAGAATTTGGATGAGTCCAAAATATATCTCAAACAATTACTCTATCCTCGCAAGTTTGGTACCTAGATACATAAATGTTATTATCCATAAGTTTCAACTGTTATTGCTTTTCAGTTTTATCCCCCCTCAACGCCTTGTTATTAATATCCCAAATATTGTCACTTGTTTGATATTTGAGATATTTCCGAGTACTTTATGTTTCAAAGTTGCAAGTATGTTTTTCAATTGCACCGTTTTCAATGTCACGTCTGAAACAATTTCCTTCTCTTCTGGCATGATGTGACATGTAATTGAATGTCTGACTAATTTTTCACACATGTCATGGTTATGTAAACCACATATCACATTAAATATCCATTTTTTATTTGACAACCGATAACCATACAACTTAATATGGCACTCATATTTTCTGGAACTAGTGTCATCCTATTTGAATTTCCGGAAAGAAGTTCTATACTTTCCACTTATTTCACATCTCATTGTCACAAGTGCAACTCTTCTATATGAAACATTATCGTCCCTTCCAATTACAATAACAAACCCCAATTTAGATTTCTCTGTGCAAATCCATTGAAGCATATGATCATAAAATTCAAACTCTTCTTTGTTGGAACAAAATTTATTCACAATCTTTGAGCTCATACTCATTGGGTTTTGATGATAACAAAATTACTTAAATAAAAATAGAGTATACTAATGTTTAGTTAAGTGTACAAGATCATTAAGCTTATAATTAACTAGGTTCTGACCCAGTCAATGGCTTGCAAAGAAGAAGCAAGTAAATCCAGATTCTAACAGACCATAAATTTCATATAAGACCTCAGCGCCATATTATTTTAGTATCTGATCTTCAAATGTAACTTCAGAGATACATTGACTTTGCCTCTGATAATTTAAAAAAACTTTAAGCGCTCTGGTAGAAATACAGTACAAGCTCTTTTGTCCGTACTCTGTGTGAAAGCAAATCCATCTTGTCAACGACTAGAATTATGGAGCAAGTCAACTATAGGTTTTAGCACAAGACTCAAGGCTAATAATATGATTTCTTTAGTCTACTATCCCATGCCTATGGAAGCCTTACTTGAGATATACACAATGGATAAAGCAATTATTCAGAAGATGAAGATTTTCATCGTACCAACTCCAATGTCTCTCTCTTGGAAACCACTTCTTCTGCAAAGAAACTTGTGCAAGAAATCTTCCAACGTATCTTTTGTTCCCTGTATATAAGGAGCTAAAGATTCAACCAAAGTAACAAGAATAATATGAAAAGAACAACAACATAAATCAGAATATTGCAAGAATTGTCTCTCACTCCAAGTTACAGTTTATAACTGTTGTATTGCCCATAGACTTAAGAGGTTCTTACACTTGTATATCTTAGAAATATCAAGTATCAAGGTATTTGTGTCTGATGTATCATTTGTACCTCTAATTGAATACCAGGTACACCTTATTGTAATTCTAAACAATTTGTTTAGAATTTGTAAAAGTCTCAAACTGAGTGTTTAAGCAAAGAAGTTTCAAGTTTAGTGTTTGAGAAATGAAGTCTCTTTCTAGTTTGTTGTGTAAAGAAATATTGAATAGTTGTGTTTAGGCAAGGAAGTCTCTTTCTAGTTTGATTGAGAAAGGAAGTCTTGGACAGTTAGTTTAGGAAATGAGGTCTCTTTCAGGTTAATTGAGCAAAGAAGTCCTAGACAGTTGGTTTGGGAAAAAAGTCTCTTTCTAGTGAGATTGAGCAGAAAGTCTTGGAATGATGTGTCTAAGTAAATTGTAATCAAGTTATGATTATGTGAAAAGCTCTTGTGTGGCAAGGGGACTGGACTAATCTCATTATAGAAGAACCATGATAACTTTGTGTTGAATCAACTTATTACTTCTGCACTTTAAATACAATTCAACTCCACTTCTTGTGTATTTTCTTACCTTCATTCTCCATTTGTAAATTGGTTGGCAACAGCCACCTCCGTCACTTTAACATATCGGACATTTGTAGACACAATAGGTTTTGGATAAACACTGGGGTACATCATATTTAATGCAAACAGTAACATAAAATGTTCAATGACAGTTGAAAATGAAAATAGATAATATTCGGAAATGTACTTTCGTAGGACTTCATAAAGAATCCAAAAATGTATTTCGGAAACCAATGTAACTTTAATCAGTTTTGAAATAAGATTAATGTGGGCAATAAGGATTGAAATACACGATCTTATCTTAAATTTCAGGTTCTTTTGTTCCTTTTGATGTAGTGAAACACAAGATTGAAATTATAGAGTGAAAATCTTAAATGAAAATGGAAGGATTTTTATAAAGGGTTTGGAGTAAAAATGATTATGGAGTATGATCATGCAGGGTAACGTTTTATTAAAAATCACATTTGATATGTGAAAAAATGAATCTTCAAAAATGACTGAAATACAAAAGTGACCGATTTTCAATTTTTCATTTCCCAATTTCGAAAATGCACTCCAGAAAAAATCATTGAATTGTTAAAATAAAAATAAATTGATAACTATTTATTTTTTAAAATATATAGGAGGAGGCTTAATTGAGACGTGTTTTAGTGATGAATAATATGCGTATCCAAAAATAGAGGAATTTTTAAAAAATTTTTTAGAGTAGTTTGAAAAAAAAACTAAACTAAACATTATTAAATAATTAATAGCTTAAAAAAAGATAAATAAAAGAAACAAACTTTGGCTACATTTTAAAGGTAATGCATATAAGAGAAAAAATAAGAGAGTTTGTTACTAATTATTTAACTATCTTATCATTATAAATAACATAGTTGATAGTCTCAAATTGTTAACCTAATTAAACCATTATCACCAAAAACCATCTTCTTTCCCTCTTTGTTTCTTTTCAAAAATCATTTGTTCCTTCTTAACAATGAATACTATCAAACCAAACAAGGGTTGTGCAGCCTAGAAACATCAAAGGAGAAAGTGTTCATTAAAAGATTGTCTTTTAGCTCCTTATTTTCCAGCCAATAAACCAATAATGTTTCACAATGTTAATTGTTTGTATGGTGTTGTTGGCATACTGAGGATTCTAGATGAAGTTCCAGAAGAGAAGAGAGATTTAGCAATGAGAACAATTATTTATGAGTCAAATGTTCGTGCGATATATCCGATTCACGGATGTGTTGAGGTTATTAAAGAATGTTATGACAGGATTAAAGATAATTTTGAAGAGTTATATCAAGTAAAAAAGTTACTAGATTATTGTAAAGTAAATCATTTACAATCACAAATTCCAAATCTTCAACCACATTTTTTAATGGGTCATTCTTTGAGAGCTTCTACAAGTTCTCAAATTCCAAATCTTGAACCACAATTTTTAATGGATTACTCTTTGAGAGCTTCTACTAGTTATCAAATTCCAAATATTCCAATATTTAACAATGTTGGTAATAACCCTAATTATTATCACAATAGTGAAAATAATATAGAAGCTACGATGAATGCATCTCCACCTAATACAAATTGGAATAAAAATTCAAGGGTTACACAATTGAGTGAAGGAGTCTCCAATAATAAAGAATCAGATCTTTTTGGTGGTGTTGATACACATATTAGTGCAAAAGATGATTTGAATGAAGAGGAAAAATAATTTGTTGATGATTTATTCATTCCAGATTTTGATATTGATAGGATTTATTAAGGTGATTAACAATCCTTTGTAGAAAAAATTCATCTCAAAGGTAACAAGTATATGATTTTATAACTTATTTTATTATTTCAATAACTTTTTTCTCTTTTACGTAAAAAGTTCACTAATGCAGATTAATGGATAGGGCAAATACAAAGAGTGAATTATGTGGAAAGAAGATGTAATATCTGTAACAAATGATATGTCGTTGATGCTTTATTGATGAGAAATATGGTTTTTTTCTTCTTCAGAATGGGTACAATGGCATTTTTTTTACTGTACAATTGCATGTTTTAGTAGAAAAGAAATTTGATTTAGTTTTATTATTAACTAAGGTTTTTTTATATGTTTTTATGGCATTTTATATTGATACATTTATACTAGTTTGATATAATTGATTCATTTGCTATTGCTTTTTTCTTTTATACAAGGTTTCTACTCTTTCATCTTTAGAATTTTATATGATTATTTATAGCAATGGTTTTATTTATTCTATTAAAAAACTAATTTTATTTATAGTTATTTTTAAAAACATTAATATATCTATTAAACACCTATATTGGTATGTAAGCCTTTATTATAGCCGATTTTCAAAAAAGTTATCTAATATTTAATTTAAAAAAAATAAACAATGCATGTTTTTCTTTTTTATAATTTTAATTTTAATTTTTTTAGTTTATAATTTTTATATTAAACCAACCATCTTTTATATAAATTATAATAAACCATTTAGGGAAAATTAGAGAGACTTTGTCTGCATTTTTATGGAGAAACCTTAAAAGCTGTTCCATAGATATTCCAATTAAAACACTATACGTAAATTAATTTGTTCCATGTCATTTATTTTAATTTTAATTAAACTATCATTGTCATTTCTCACGTTGAAGAATAAACTTCCCACAATTATTGTCAACATTGATTATGATAATTGAATGAATAAAAAAAATTAGGAGCTAAGCGGATCCGACAAAAAAAAATTAAATTGATAATTAAATTCAAATTAAATTGAAATAAAATCATTTGTTCTTGGTTTGATTTTAAAATCGAATCAAATCTATAAAAATTGATGTTGTTTGGTTTAGTTCTCAGTTTTAATTTTTAAGAATCACAAAATTAATGAACTGAACCAATGAATATAATTATGCTCCAATTTTTTTATTTTTTATTAGATACATAGCTTTATTGGACTTTAAGTTTCTCTTTTGGGTCTTAGGGTTATGTTAGCTTGGCCCATTCATCTTTGTATATATTGTAACGTAGCTCTTAATTTGGTTCAATGAGATATCAACAAATTCCTTTATTCAAACTTTTCTTTTTTTCCTTTCATTTTCTCAAGACGAGTTTATCACTTGTAACATAGTATCCATAGACCATACATTCATTCTTCTTTTCACCTTCCATAACATTTTATTTCATTCTTCGTCCTCTTATCAATCGTTACATTTGTTCCCTTTTCTCCATACATTCATTCTTGATTTTTATACCTTCCCATGTTCTTGTTTTTCTTCTTTCATCCTTCTCATTCTTCAACAATGGATTATGGTGATGAATCAAACCCCCTAGTACCCCTAAATAAAGTTTCAATAACACTCCCAAAAACACCGTAACAAATCCTACCCTTAACCCCTAGTGATCCGTTCTATGTTCATCCCAGAGAAAATCCTGGCGCCACCATTGTCGCTCCACCCCTTGACGATAACAACTACCATAACAGGAGTCGATCTATGTGTCGTGCCCTAACCTCCAAGAACAAGATATCTTTTATCAATGGAAAACTCACGAAACCTTTGATTTCTGACCCCAATTATGAACTCTGGGAACGTGCTAATAGCATGGTTCTTTCATGGATCAATTATACTCTTTCCCATCATATTGCTCAGAGTAGGATTTGCTTGCGTTCGAGCTGTGAGAGGATCTCTGTGAAAGATTCACAAAAGGTAATCATTTCGGATTTTTGGATCTCCTTCGTGAATTACATTCTATACAACAAGGAGATGGATCCTTGTCTGCTTATTTTACTACCTTGAAGATTCTTTGGGATGAACTAGAGGATTTAAGACCTACTCCTTCTTGCACTTGCCCTACACCTCGCACTTGTGATTTAGCCAAGGTTATGCGCAATTACAAGCACACGGAGTATGTTACGTGCTTTCTGAAGGGCCTCAATGACTATTATCACAATATTCGCATGCAAATTCTCTTGCTCGACCCTCTTCCTAGCATTAGCCGTGTCTACTCCCTCATTTCTCAACAACAAATCATTTCTTATTTTTTTAACTTGAACCGCTTTCATAAAAAAACTTAGATTTAGGTCCATGCATTTTCAAAAAAAAATTCTTAATAAAGTCATCAATCAATCTTAATCAAGATATGACTTCTTTTTCCAATACTTAAAAAATATAAAACAATTTCAAACCTTTTGCTTCTTTGGCTTTTTCTCTTTAAAACCTTTTTCTTAAAATTAACCAACACATAAAACTTTTCAAATTTTTTGAGAAGAACTACGAGTGCCCTGATCCTCTATTGCACTAAGAGGGTACGTAGGCACAAAAGGTTTGCATCCGCGGTGAGTGAAAAAATTGTAAAAATAACTTCTTTTCTCATCTCCACAATCTCATTTTGTAAATATTTCTTTATAGCCAAAATACACAGATTTCCAAAGAGGTTCTTGCGGAGTACCGTAGATGATTAGGATGCTAATACCTTCCCTTTGCATAACCAACTCCTTAACTTGATCTCTTTCTCACTTCAGGTTTTATTCTCTCTTTTTCCATTCCTTTGGATAAAATAAAAGTGCGGTGGCGACTTTTACTTTGTGAGTTATGTCAATCAATCACTTAGTCTCAAATTTTTGCCGCTACACTAAGCATACAACTCAATAACATATCCTCTCACCTCACCACTGTAGGGGGCTTCTCTCCATTATGGGAAATCACTAACCACCATATGTAACACCCTAAACCCCAAGTATAATTTATAAAACATTGCGAAATATATGAAGATAAAAGCAAAGGTGTCACATTAACAAAAACCTTTCAATTGATATTTCAAATGCACAATTGAAGTCAAAACATAGCATCATAAAACATAGCAAAGTGATATGTTTAAAACAACTTAATGACATAACAAAATCCCCAACCCGATGTTATAATATTATAGTGACACCGAATACAAAACTAGGCAGTCGATAAAAGATACGACAAAATATAAGAAAACTATTAAAAAAGACAACTATGACATCCTAGGTAACCAACGCTATCACTCCTCAGTCTTAACCCGACGATTACCTGTATAAAGTACAAAAGTAGAAACATAAAGATAAGAAAGGGGTGAGAATATATTCCATAATATAAATGGTGTTTAAATATCAAGGATAACATATATCAAACATATTCAGTCAAAACAGATGTACCATATAAAAATTATTTATGCAATGCGTATTTCCTATACTCTCATGCACATGGTACCATTCTGCAACACTGAATCGAAGTCCTATAACACTGGATATCCGAGTTATTTTACTGAGTGATCCTCAAAACTACACTAAGTCCTACAACACTGGACCAAAGTCCTAATCCGATCTCTGATATACATGATGCATGATCAATCAAACACAAAAATCTCCATTCGAACCTCCTATTCCCATTCTCATGCACCAGTCAAAACACTGGATCAAAGTCGTGCAACACTGGACCAAATTCCTACAACACTTGACTGAAGTCCTACAACACTTAACCAAAGTCTTGGATATTAGAGTTATTTTGCTGAGTGATTCACAATAGTGTCGGTTAAGGCTAACATTGGTTCTTTTGAACCTAAAACATATCAGCATTGATTCTCTCGAACCTAAACATAACAACATTGGTTCTCCCAAACCTAAACATATCAACATTGGTTCTCTCGAACCTAATCATAAATCACATCAACACTGGACTTGCATCCTAACCTTAACAACTTAACTCGTACACGTATTATCAAAAATTGAACTTGTGTCCTAAAACATTAACAACTTAATATAATTCACATAGCATCTTATTAAAACAACCCCAAAATCATGTTTCTTGCTAGTCATACCTCAAATTCGGAATTTTAAATATCAAATAAAGTCAAAATTAAGCAAATGAATATGTTTCAGAAATATAAGAGGGACTTTTTTAAGACTATTATTTTTATTTTAGGACTTAAGATCCCAAATTGTATAGTTTAATCAAAAAATAGGAACAAGTACAAGCACCGGGAAGAATGTTTAGTCAAACTTGTAACTAGTATTTCTCCTACCGAACTTAGTGGAATGAGATTCTTATTAAGTTTAATATGTAGGAAATTTTGTCTATTTTTTTTATGATATAAGATATACTCTTAAAGGACTTGTGTATAGTGAGTTGTGTCCAAATTACTAAAAACATGTAAAATAGTTGTGCTGCAGAGTTTTAAAAACATTAACTAAACTTGCAATTCAGTTTTCTAGGTTTTTCCATAACGAAATTGATTCGGATCATAATCTATTTCTTATTAAATATTATCTAGTTTTTAATAGTCTCAGTTTTATTCTTAAAAGATCTAGGTCACTAAAGTTATAAGCAAATGACTAACATGGTATACTAACCGAAAGTTATAGAAATTAATCGACATATGGTAAAAACAATACTTAAACATCTATTATCATTGCTAATCATCCTATACCATTGGTTTGACATATAATTTTTCAAATTAAGTACACTTATATTCAATTAAAGCACTAAACTCATGTCATGTACACAATTACTACTTTCCACAACGTTATTCATATAAACCTCATAAGAATATACCATATTCACAATATCATTCATACGCATAAATGTCATGATGAATTACCATAATCAAGACCTTGTATTCACATTTAAACCTTATGAAATCATCTTAATAAAGATCTATGTATTAGCTTTCTGTTGTACCCCAAAATTTTCCCTCTCATTTTATCA